TATGTATATATATATCACATTTTATTTTTATTGCAGAACTTTATATGGATTTCACAGTCTTTTATTTGGTGTCATTTATCTCTATGTGAGCTATCAAAGGTTACTTTATAGTTAAGTACATTTGCTACTATTGTCAGGTTTTACTTATAGTCCACTAAATTTCAGAGGGTAAAGTAAAACGTTGTGCATTACTACATTTATGTGACATGTATAATTATAAGTTACTCTACAGATTAAGGTTTCATATACAAAACGTGATCCGCTAAAATGTTTAAGCTTTAATTTGATTCTTAAAAGTAACTAAAGGTATCAAATAAATGCAGTGGAATAAAAAGTACAATGTTTACCTTTAAAATTGGACTAAAATTACTTTTCACCACTGGTGAATGGTGTTGCTGATATTAAATTATCTGTGTACTTTTTTCATCGCTGCTTCATAGTGTTATATTATTGTTGGGACACCTTTTTATGTTTTGTGCACTGCTGCCGTGAAGGTCCAGTGCCAGGTTTTTCAGCGGCCTCTGTCTGAGTCTGGCAGCAGCGCAGCGTGAAAGCAGTGGGGAAACAGAAACACGCTCTGTCTCTTACTCAGGTAACACTGTCTTACAACTCAAGTCTAACGGCAACAAAGGGCTCACGTTGTCTGTCTGCTTTGCTCGGAGACAATTCAAAAGTGTTAGCCAAACTGGGCAGGAAGAAACGCGAGCTTACCTTGCTCATCGTCCCTGCTTTTGGAAGTTCAGTCCTGCTATGACTGGGAAAAGTTTCTGTCTAATCTCTTAGGGGACTGCGTAAGGGCGTAGCTAGCTAGCTAGCTAGCCTGTTAGCTCACAGCTAGTTTGTGTACAGAGTTGGGCTGTTTTGGAGCCGCTCCGTCAAATTTGAGATAAGCCTTGTGGTGTTCTCTTGCTTCGTTTCGGTTGGGACTGTATATATTCATGTTTTGTGCTGTAAGCTAGTTTTGACCGGGCTAAACAGCTGTTAATACGAGATAGCCATGTGTGACTGTCTTGTTGCTTTCCTGTCATATTTCTACAAGTTCAGCCGCCGCTAATACTGTTTTCCGTGCAAAAATAAGACTTCGCAAATTACAGACATTCAAAGTTATGTACTATGTTGGTAATTTTCTTGCTGCTCATGTAGCCTGCTGTGTGTTCAGAACTGAATAACCAAACAGTTATTGCTATTATTAGAAGTTAGCAGGCTTCACTGACTGTTTTCCCTGAGACCTTTCAGAAGTGGACAACGTTAACTGTTAGCCTGTCAGCTAACTTTCTGTTTTTTGGTGTGGCTTCATAATTCTAACTGGAAAAAAAAGTTTTCACAGTTGTTTTGCAACCTTTAAGAGGAAGTGAGACTGCACGGTCACAACATGTACTTAAGGTTAAATGTCTGTTGCTAGCAAAATTAAACTGCAGTTTGTGTGACATTATATTTGTTTACACGCTAAATACGTTATTTATCGGGCGGCAGCCAGATAATAAGCAGGTTTCCCAAGGCACTGTTGTCTCTCACAACAGACAGGATATACAGTATCTGCCACCAGCAGCTTGGGCATGATTATCTTTGTCAGATGTGTTAGTATCTGTGCTGTAAGAGTTGCTGACAGCTTTTGCACCTGATCATCTTTGCACACTGCATTGTGTTTGCTTGTTACATTAACATGTGTTATGGTCATGGGTGCAGTACGGTGTTCAAATGTCAAGTACAAACTAGACTGGCCTGTCAACCCCTGCACTTACAGTGCATCTTGCTCTCTGTTGCAGTATACAAACTAGACTGGCCTGTCAACCCCTTCACTTAGTGTGCATCTTGCTCTCTGTTGCAGTTTTGTATGAGCTAGCTGTGGGATGATTGAGGGGTGTCTTTTCAGTGCTCATTTAAATAGTCACCAGTACAATGAGCACAGTGTTACAATCTCCAGCAGTTCCAGGCACATTATTGTGTGTTAGAAAAAAGGTTGCATTGGCTAGAGAAAGATAAGTGTCTGAACAGTTATCTTGCTATAATTTGGCAGTTGATGTAGCTGATAAATAACTGTGCTGATTACACAGTGGTGTTTTACTTGAGAGTTTATATGTGTATTGGTCTGTAACAAAATAGATATTCACGCAGATCTTGTCCATTCTTGGTTTTATTTTAAACTGAATGGCCACTCCCCAGTTGATTCACAGTGTGATGAAAAAGGAAATACTGATTCATTTCCTGTTCAGGTGTAGCATCACTTTGGCACAGCCTCTCAGGCTGTAAAACCAGCTTGGCTCAAGGGCGATACACCTGGAGACATAATCAAGTGTTGAATGTTTAGCAGCAGCTATTGAAAGTAAGCGTTTATATGTAAACTCAATGAAGGAGAATAAGAAACGAAGGGATTTTGTTTGTTTGTGAGGGTGAAAAAGGCAGGAAGAAAGTCAAGCAGGATGCATGCCAGCCAAACGCACTGAGATTGGCAAAGTAAAGTAGATTTAGGGAATCAGCTCATAGTTCCTGAGGAGATAGTCAGCACTAATCTCAGATCAGACCTTGTGTTGCTGTCAGAAGCACAGCAGACTGTGTATTTTGTTGACCTTACAGTTTCCTGGGAGGGTGCTGTGGATATAGCTTATGAGAGGAAGAAACTAAAATACACAGAATTGGCCATTGAGGCAGAGCTGGAAAGTTAATGTCTGCCCTGTGAAAGTTGGTTATGGGGGATTTTTAGACAAGTCACCTGTCTCTCTGCTAGGTGAGTTAGGTTTAGAAGGGCAGAGCCTAAGACAGGTTATTAGGAATCTGGCTGATAACACAGCAAGGTCCAGTAAGTGATTCTGGAGCAGAAGAAAGGTGTGTGAATGAGGCAGAAATAGCCGTCTTGAGGCCTAATTCCTGGTGTTAGCATGAGCAAACTAACATAGTGGATGTTTGACTGGTTTGTTGGAATGAATACTAACACAGAGTGGTTTCTGAAGTCTGGCTAGTTATCCAGTGAGCTATTTGAAATGGTGAGTTATTTTAAATGTTTTATGACCATCAGTAACCATGGGTATGACACTTGGTTGACAGAAAATCACAAATATGATAATTGATTAAATATTAAAGTGATTTATCAAGCAAAATGGAAAATATCTACTTGTTCTGGCTTCATAAATACATTTGCTGTCTTTTCTGATTTGTCATTGTAAACTCAATAGAGTTTGGTATAACACTGTTGGCTGAACAACACAAACATTTATCATACATCCCTGGGAAATTGTGCCTGTTGGCACTCTTCATCATTCTATGACATTTTAAAGATTAAATTAAAATAATAGGTTATTTATATCAACCCTAATCTGTTGAGTGTACATCGTGTCTGCAGTCAGCGTGTTGCCTTGTCTTACTTGTGGGTCATGCTTTGTAAAATGTATGTGTGAAAAGCTAAAATACTATGAGTTTCTTCATGTTAAAACAGGCCCTTTGAGAGAAATTCTTTGGCAATGTTTGCCGAATAAAATGTTGCATTTGTATCTTCTGACTGAGCAGTTTTCAAAGTCACTGTGTTCACTTTTACCTACTGTGTATTTGGATCATTGAAGCTGCTTTAGTGGCAGAAGTGTCTGTGGACATAATGATGAAACACAATGCACAATTGTAACATATTGGTTGTAGTCTGCATGTCTGCCTCCTCCATCTACAATGGATCTGTTTTGTCTTCCTCTGACAGCTGCGTTGGCTCAGTGGGTGACACACTTACAGTAGCCAACAAACACTTGTTGTTCATTTGAGCTTGTACCCTGAATCTGCAGAATTGAGAAAGCTTCTTAAGTATTTGATTATTTTTTTGTCAGAATATTTTTGGGATAATTTTAGGGAGTTAAAAGTAAAATCTAGACAAGTCCGTTTGACAAATGAGCTTGTTATAGTTATACAAGGAGCTTATGAATGCAGTAACAATCAACATTAGTAGATTCAATCTGGAAACTATTTTTAATATAAAATATGTTGTCTTCCTTAACAGCTCTCCAGTGGAAATCCCATCTATGACAAATACTATCGACAGGTATGCAATTATATCTTCACAGCAACTCAATTTGTGATTTATAAAGATTAGACAAAGGTGTTTTTAAAAAGCATCTCTAATAGATTGTTTAAACAGTATCCATCCATCCATTTTCCTCCGCTTATCCGGGACCGGGTTGCGGGGGCAGCAGTCTAAGCAAAGATGCCCAGACTTTCCTCTCTTCAGACACTTCCTCCAGCTCCTCCGGGGGAATGCTGAGGCGTTCCCAGGCCAGCCGAGAGACATAGTCCCTCCAGCGTGTCCTG